ATATATATATATACACATATATACACACATATATATACATATATATATATATGTATATATGCATATGTGTGTACGTGTGTATTTAACGTGAGTGATCTCATCTTTTTCTTTTCATCATTGTTCGGTTGTTTCACTATAACCTTCCTCTCTGTGGTTGTTTTGTTTCGCATATCATTTTTTTTTCTTTTTTATTTTTTATTTTTTTTTTACTTATTAGTTTCTCTCGGTGCTATATCTGCGTGGGTAATATGCATGTCTCACTCTCTCTCTTTCTCTCTCATCATTTTCTCTGCATTTCCTCTCGCTCTTGTAACTCTTGCGCGCGCGCTCTGCGTGTATGATTAAATTCTCCATCGCGTTTAATAGTAAGTTTCTTGCTCGAGCCAGCCTCCTGGATTCCGGCGGAGGTAGAATCGTCTCGTCTCGTCGTAGATGAAGATGGCGAACATGAAGGGAATGGCGGGCAGCCACCAGACGAATCTGAAATAGACAACCACGTATTTACACATCACTGATCGTCTGAATATCGTCTTTGCTTGCGCTTTAAAGTTCTCAAAGAGGACGAAAAACGTAAAATTTCATTTAAAGCTTTCGAGTAGATTTCTTTTTTTTTTTTTTTTTTTTTTGTTCGGCGAGTTTCTTCGGTTTTGCGATGGGCGACAGAACGGAAATGGAGACTCACTTGAGAGGGAACATGCGGAGACCCTTGTCCATGCCGGGTGTGTAGCTTAGGAACGCGGCGAGGGCGGTCTCGAATATTAAACCAAAGTTCAGGGCCCAGTTTCTCATTCCCTGATGGATGATGGAATTACGTCGCGTCTTGCAGACGATCAGATCGGCCCACTGGACGATAACGATCGAAACGAAGAAGGCTGTGTGGCAAGTGAACTCCAGCGTCTTACGATCCCTGTACGTCTGTCGAAAGGCAACAATAGAATATATATGTATGTATGTATGTATGCCAGTGAAATTTGTACTCGAACTTTTCAGCATCTATCATTTGAATATTCGAGAGAGAGAGAGAGAGAGAGAGAGAACGAAGAGAGAAGGTATTCTTCTCTTGGAATTTACCCATTCCTGGCCGTAGCTGTCAGGAAGATCGTTGACAGCCTTCGAGTCCCACTGTTTCCGGATGCCGAACAGATGCAGAGGTAGGAAACCGTTCTCAGCCATGATCACGAAGTAGACGAAGAAACCGGCGGCTGCCTGGATCATACCGATCTGACCATACGCCATCGAAATAAGCCTGTGTGCATAGAACAGCCCGTTTAGATCGCGTTGCCGCTTAACTCGCGTATCGCGAGTTCCACCGGTCTTGCAATTGGATTCTGACTTTCAAGGAACACGTTACAATACCACTTCAATTAGATTAGAATTCACTTAGAAGCAAATAAGTTTCTGAAATACTCTTCTATACCCTTGCAGCGAGGGTAAATTTATTCGAGAAGGAATTATTATTATTTTCACACGCGTTGCGAGTGTATTTTTCCATTTAAGAAAAAAAAAAAAAAAAAA